AGTTAAGTTACAGTTTCAAGGGTTCACTGAAATTGATACAGTTAACATTTTGGGAGAGCTGCTCTTCTCAGAGACTAGCTACTTTCCATACGTTATTTCTTGATGTTGTTTATCTTATTTATTTTTTAATTAATCTTATTTAATTTTTTAATATATCATATACACACATAGTTGAACAAATTATAATAAAAACTCATGTACTTAACATCCAAATGGAAAAATAAAACACTTCCAGCACTCAGAAGCCCCCATATGATCCTCTCTAGCCATCTCCTATTCTCAACACATGACCCACTCTCTTACTTTTTGTAATAATCATTTATTTGCTTTCCTTTACAGTTTTGCATCCATACATGCATTCTCCAAGCAATAGAGTTTGGCTGTACTGGTTTTTGAATGGAATCAACATATTTGTATTCTTCTGTGTCTGGCTTCTTACACTCGACATTATGTTTCCAAAACTCTTCTGTGTTGTGTGTAATTGCGGTTCATTCATTTTTATTGCTGTATAGCATTCTGTGAATATGCCACAAATTTTCTATAATTGATGGGTTATTTAGGTCACTTTGGGAAAATTATAAAGAATTCAGCTATGAACGTTCTGGCACATGTACCATGGTGTATGTGTACATGATTTTTCCTACGACACGTACCCAGAATGACTGGGTCATAGAGTTTAATTATCGTCAATGTCACTGGATAATACCAAACTGTTTTCTAAAATATTGTTCCAATTTATACTCCCACCCTTTCCATATGAGTCTTAATCTGCACCAGAGCCCCGGGGGGTAGATTTAATTGATATCATTTGCCAGGTGAGGACACTGAGGTGAGGGGGATGAGGTACCCTCCAGTGTGGGTGTCTGGCATACTGCGATACTGGGAAATTTGAAAAGAGCTCCCTAGGTGCAGTGCCCGGATTCTTTATTTCATATCAGGCTGCCTTCGGTTTAAAGCTGACATTTGATGGGCTCTTTTAAGACAAGAGGCTAGACCAAGGCAGGTTGAGGACTCAAGTTTAGAGAATGATGCTTGAAGTAGGGAACAAGAGAAGGAATCTTTAGAAACATAAAGAGCATCTGATGACATTCAAGGGGTCACACCAGATTTTCTAGTGCCCAGCAATAACAATAGCTAACACATGGCATTCTTAGCAGTTTT